GACGTATGATTCGGCTTCCACCGCTGTAAAACTGAGTAGTTGACTGCGATGGCGACCTTGCAACGACCTTTGTGATGTGACCTATTGGTGTATCCATTGGCAACGGTGTCGGTTCTACGGACGATCCAGGAGGAGTGTTCGGTGATGATGTTTGATGTACCGGTGTAATTGGGGTTTCTGATGAGAAAGAACAAAGATGAGAAAATTTATCCATTGACCGTCAAAATTGGTTGCAACATTTTGCATTTTATGTACTTTTTCACATTAATTTGGGACCAAACGGACATAATTCCCCATTGATGACAGGTATTGATTTAAATTTTTGAAAAAATATGCAGGTTTTATTTTGTGAATGATAACGAAATTGGCACTGCATGAAAGGCATATTCACCATTTTGACATCACAGAACAGAACACTAGAGGGCGCAATTTGCAGGAACTGTATTTTCATGTATTTTAACAAAAATTTCTTAATGAGCATAATTTCCAATCATCCACTGATCCTGATCAAAATATTTTTTTTATTTTCAATTATGATAAATTATTATAAATTATGATAAACATTATGCGGGTTATTTTTACGAATTGTGACTTTGGTAAATTCAACATTTTATTTAGGTCTTAACACACACTTGAGATGTTAAATTATGAACATTTCTAGCAACAAATTTTTTAATAACTGTTTATAGTATAATTCATTCTTTGAAGAACAACAATGTCAGCCTCCTTCTCATTTCACAAAATCAAAATGCATAATTTTATTCAGAATTTTTCAAAATTTTTGAATCAAGATGTACTTTTTTTGAAAATTCTGACCGAGAACTATAGCCAATTAAATAAAATTTGTAGAGTCACAACACCAGCGGAGGAAAGGAGGAAGAATTATGATGTTAAAAATTATTCTGAGTATTCAAATAGTTATTATTCATTGTACTTACCGATAAGGGAAGGAGCAATGGAGACTGACTTACTCCGTCCGCTGCTAGCACTTGACTTGGCATGGGGCCGTCGAAGACCGCCCTCTTGTGATGGAACTTTTATCGGAGGCAAGGGCTGTGATTGGGCAAAGCCTTCCATGCTTTTACTCCTCAACCGACTCCCGTGACCCGCACTGCTCGGTTGTAGGTACAGCGTGGATGGCGGTGTCTGCACTTCTGTTACCCCACCTATGCCAAAATAAAATAAGTAATTGACATAACTGGTATTATACATTTGACTCCAAAAACAATAAAATTCTTTGACAAAAATATGCCCCTTTAACCATGGTGACAACAACTTGTAATTGTTTGTTTTCTATACTGCTGTAGAATACTTTATTTTCACTTGGAATTAATTTTCGATATTTTCGCTGAAGGAGTGATTCAGTGAAAATAAAATCCAGCGAATATACGTTTTTCCTATATCAACTTGTCAAAAATCAGTGAAAATAAATTCCATACAAAACACCCCAAAAAAGATCTCAATCTTGGTGAAAACACAACTACAGAGGGCGCAATGTTACAAGGAAATCGGAGTTTTCCGATTCGCCTTTCTCCTGCTTTAAATTAATTTGGCAAAAGTGGAGTAAAAATGCACTCCCAGGGAATGACAACTCTCCCCTTGACTTACCTGGTGTTGAGTGTGGTCTTCTAGGTTTGGTATTAGGAGACGGATTGGCTGATGGTCTTGCGATTGTCATGTACGAGCGGAGATTGGTATTGGAGGCATTTACTAGTCTGTCATCACTGTAGGACGGTTTGATATTAGCACTGAGAAACAAAAAAATTGATAAAACA